GGGTCATTATGAACAGACGGACTAAAAATGAATATACGAGCGAAGCAGTCCCTATAAACATTTAGGATAAGGTTTTGGATTAAAACTGTTTTGCCACCCGTTGATGAAGCAACAACAATTGAGCGAAAAGGTAGTTTTGGCACATGTTCATATTTGGATTGTTTGAATTCATAATCAGTTATGTTTATTGGTTTTATTATTGGAACGTTTGTCATAATTGATATTAAAGATATATAGAAAATTTTATTTAAAAATTAACTTGTAATTAATATTAAATGGAACATCTTTATGTTATGAGTGGTTGTGAATAACATAATGGAACAGGCTTTCCATTTCTTCAATCAATGAGCATTGAAGCTAATTAGTTTGATGTATTGCAAAGAAAACCCCAAGTGCTGTGCCCTCCGAATATTCTACCATGCATGAAATAATAAGATTAAATAACAATTTTATCTTATTATTTATATGAATAGGAGTTATTCAGATTATATTGATATAATAAATGAAGTACAACATATAGAAGACGTTGTTATAACCGATAATAAAATTAAGAAATGTTGTTATTATTCATTAGAATTAATTAAGCTAGGAATACAATATATCAAAAATAAAAATGTAAATATTAATATAAATGGGAAGAAAGAAGAAGAATAAAACAGAACCAGTTGTTTCTTCAACTGATGAAGAAAAAGAAGAAGTTATTAAAGAAGCATCAGTCACTGAGTTTGCTTGTCCTATGTGTAAAAAGATGTTAGAACTTAGAAATGAATTAGAAATAAAAAAAATAAGGGTAATTGCAAATGCAGTTGTGTGCCAATAGGGTTCAAAATATCTAAAAATGATAAGAACAGGAACATTGACAAAACTAAAGACGGCATCAACTTAGAAACAGATGCTCATAATATTTGCATCAAATTTGGAAATGAAGCTACAACGTCAGATAATGTTGATAACGAAACACAGGAAACTATTAAACAAATGATGAAAAATTAGCATTTAAAGAGTAGAATTAACATAATTTAAACATTTAGTTTTAAAAGTATAGTTGAATAATATAGTATATGGTTGAATTTTACATTTTGGAGCACTTGAATTAGACAAGCAAATTGGAGACAATAATTATAATGGTGTTAGTTATTATACTTGTAAGTGTGGATGTAAAATAGTCTTAACTCGTACTCAAACTAAAAAGTATAACTGTTTATTACTTAGTGTTGGTCTTAGCTATGAATATTTATATCTGGACAAAGCGTTAGTATGTGGACATACTCAAAAAGATTTAGATAACATTGTTAGAGTTATGGTAGAAGGCGAAGAATTTAAACATTTAAGAAACAGAGACCTTCGAAATTAAAATATTTAGTTTTAAAACTTTAGTTTTATGATATAGTATATATGGAAGGTGTGGATAAACTATTTTTGAAAATTGATGAAATAATGGAACAAAATAAACGCATTTATCAACTGTTAGAAAGTATGAAGAAACCAGCTTACAATAATACTAATAATTACCAACCAAAAGAAGTTGATAGAGAGAGCACTGAATACAAGAATAAGCGAAATGTATATATTAAAAAACTTAATGAAAAAGTCATTAAAGAACCTAAACAATCAAGTCTGGATTTCTACCAAGTCAAGTATATTGAAGATACCAAGAAATATGTTTAATCATTAACTAACAAAATTTCGTGTCTCAGAAGTGGTTTGTTTATTCCTGCTACTCTGTAAGTCTTATTACCCATAATATCATATTCAATTTTATCAACATTGAATATCTTATTAGACCATTTAGAGTTATACTCTTTTCTGTCGGTGTAATTGCCCCTTTTCTTTTGAAACACTTTTACCTTATCGTTCTCCTGTATTTTGGGATATTTTCTTTTGTTCTTTTCTCGTAGTTTCAGATTGACTTTTACATTTATTTCATTGTCGTCCTTGTGTGCTTCGGTTGGTGTCATCCTTGTTGACGAGTGTAATGTGCTGTTATACTGTTTCAATGCTGGTGTTAAGGCATCGGTCCATTTCATATTGTTAAACCTAGCTCTATCATGAATTTTGTTTTTCATTGTCCTAATAAAACGTTCGGCTACATTTGCGTGTGTCTTCGTTATTATGTGTTTGATACCTTCGCTGTTGAAGAAATCCTGAACTTGGTTTTTGGTTGCAAATGCTCCATCATCATCAGAATACACGGACATCGGATAACCCATCTTTTTAAAACTTGCTCTTAGTGCTTTTAGAACGTGCTCTCCGTCTCTTTCCTCCATCGGTATTACATCTGCTAATTTACTGAAGATGTCAATCACGACTAAAGCATACTGTGGAACGTTCTTGTCTTTAGCTAAAGGTGACATATGCATTATGTCTATTTGATATTCATACCTAGCAAACGGGGCGGTATAGGAATTAGTGCCTCTATAATTTTTGATTTGTTTATTTGGTTGTTTCTTTAAGAAAGACTTTACATCTTCTAATGTTATCGTTGGGTCTTCTTCCTTTGCCTGCTTGTGTGTTGCTTGTGTGCTTCCGAAACCCTCGTCTAAGTCATAATAGATGTTGCTGATTATTTGGTCTTTCGTTAATCTCGCCATTATATTATTTGTTAGAAAATATTTTTTATCGATATAACCCCCACCCCTTAACATTAAAAAAAACTACTTAAAGAGAAAACACCTTATATATTAAGAGAAAAATGAGTGAGGGTAAAATGTCAGAGAATAATTTTATATTTGAGAATTGCGCTAGCTTACCTGCTGATGTATTAAAAGGTATCATTTCATATAAATTAGGGAGACCTGAGTATTTGAAACTAAAACATAATCATATTAAGACATTAAAGAGAATACAACAACGATATAAAATAGACAGAACAGAAACAAAAAGAAAGACAAAGCGCTATACTGTTGAAGATGGCGATGATATAAAGAGACACGTAATTGAGTATTACATTTCAAGAAATATACCTTTAAGCATAAAAAGCATCAAAGGTATAGTGTTTAATGAAAATGAAAACTTAGATTGTTTGTTAGATGGCATTGAAACCGATAACGGTTATGAAGCAGTGATAGTAGTTGAGGTAAATATGTTTGTAAGGTTTCATCATTTCAATTATGAAGACAACCATTTTAACACTTTTAGTTTTTATTTTCGTAGTGATGATGTTGTGGATAATATAACCATAGATAATATAGCCGATGTAATGAGAGCGGCGCATCAAACAATAAACAGTTGTATTGATAGAGAAAGAAGTAGAATGAATTTTGGAGGAGTACAAAACATAAGGTTTAAACTAATTGTTGATGAACCTGTGTAATTCATAACTAAACCATAATTATATCATTTATACTCTTATATGTTATAATTATAGTGAACTTTTAATCTATAAAAACCCCTGAATAAATTTAAAGACTAGACCCCTTAATATTTAAGGATATATGACTGACAAAAAGCAGTGTTCAAAATGTAAAGTCTTTCAACCTCTAGAAATGTTCAAAGAAGAAAGGAAACAATGTAATTTATGTCTCGAAAGCAAAAAGAGATACAGAGAAAAACATAAAGACACACTAAGCCAAAAAGCGAAGGAATATTATGAAAACAAAAAAGAAAACAAACAGCAATACCAGAAAGAACACAGTAAAGAATACAACCTACGAACAATTGAATGTCAATACTGTAGGTGTATGGTCTCACTTAGTCAGAAAGCAAAACACGAAAGAACCAAAAAACACATCAACAATGTTCAGAATCCAAAACCACCAAAGACTGAAGAAACAACAAAAGAATACAAACAGCAAACAACACAGGAAGAGATAAGAGATTACATTGAAACCTCATCAGATTTTGAATATGACATAAACAAAGAATAGGAAAACAGAAGACCCGCCATCGATGAAACTACTAAAAGTTCTAACCTCTTTCGAGAAACACAAAATGAAACATGGCATGAAACATGGGTAGTGAAAACGAATAAGATGGTTAAACTGTTGAAAAACAATACTCAAAGAAATCCCTCAACATTTGTCATTTTCCCCTTAGGACCAGCCTTTTCTACATTTTTTGGGGGGCGGGGGGGCTTGTACGGTCACATGTACCTTCAAAAGCCAGCGGGGGGGGGCCAAGGAAGACGGATTATGTATATATATATATATTATACACATGACTTTATGGCCCTTTGGCTGTCTTTTTTTTCATTTGCACCTATATATCACTTGGTAGGTCTGAAATACCCACGCCCCTTTTTGGGTTTGTTTTCTTTTCAGCTTCAGACAATAGACATGTATACATATACAGAATATGTAGAAAACATATATATATATATGTATCACTTTATGGCACTATGGCAATGCATCTTTGGACTGGATGGCTGTTTGGCAACGGATCTTTGAACTGTAGCTTGTTGGGAAGAGGACATTTTCCATTGAACCCACAAAACGCCCAGCCTTTTGCAGCGGGGTCAACAGCAACCAAGATCAAGGCTCCTTGCATTTCCCCTTGAACCGTTGCAATTTACTGATGGTTTCCCTCAACTACCACTTTTGAAAATTCCAAAAAGGCGCTGCACACGTGCAATGGAGAAAACACCTCTTCCTTTGCTTGGGGTTTACAGGTCACCCACCTGGCAAGGGTCCTCAACTGCTTTGGCTTGCGCGAGCGGAAAGCCCTCATTCCGGCTGGCGCAGCCCAAGAAACGGAAGGTCAACATGGGTCTGGAGGGGGAGGGAGCCCAACTTAGCCCTAAGGCCGTACGGGCCGGATAAAAGGCTTCTTTGGGCTCCCGGTAGAGGCCACGGATCGGTTGGCCTGTCATTCGCAGGCCTTCGGGTAATGGACCGGCTTCGACATTTCGCGAGTGCGCTCGGCATATGATGCCTGCTAAGGGAACCATGATGATAGGCCATATCAGGAGTTTTGCCCTTATGAGGGGTCCCTGGAATTCCGTGGATGTAAAGGGAAACCAACAGGAAACCGAAATCCATGTTGGGGCCTGAAGCATCGCACAGGCGTCCGAGCGCATGCTGGTGTACGCATTTGCAGTGCTCGGGCGCTCAGATTTGTTCTTTGGTTCTCGGGCAGCTTGCTGTAGACAGTCTCTTCGGGACAGGATTGGCCAGTCAGGCTTGGATACTCAGATGCCCTGAATAGACTCTCGCTACAAGTAGCTGACAACAAGAAGTCACCTCAAAGATGACAAGAGTCGGGGCGTTTCCTGTTGAACAAGGGCTGTTTGCCCAAAAGGGGAATGTTGCCCTCAAAAAGGGTGGTGGGGTGGTGGTGGCGGCGGCGGCGGCGGCGGTGGTGGTGCTGGTGGTGGTGGTGGTGGTTCCAAACAGGCTTCCAATGTCGTCCGCGCAGCCTCCAGGGGTGATGTGGTTTCCCAAACATCAGGGACCCTTTGTTTTTGGGACTAAAAGAGACCCGTATCAGCGCTCTATTGTCGGAAATCACTGGGTCGTTTCCCTTCGATCACTTGCAACATGTCGGGGAGATGGCTGGCCTAAGGATTCTTGGACACTTGGACTCCAAAAGAAAGGAGCCCTAAGTTGAACCTGGTCCGCCCATCAAGAAACGGCGGAAATGGACACTCACGTGAATTGTCATCATCTTCTAAGTCTCCAAAATGATCCATGATCCATCCATCGCCAAAAACTGGAAGATTGAGTTAGTGTACAAACGACAACCGCAGGTAAGCCCAACAAATCTGCTCGTAGACCTGAGAAAACCATGGGGCGGTCCGGCGGTTGGGAAGGGGTGTCGTGTAGCGCGAACGCTCTTTTCCCGAGCCCATTTTTGTTGTCTCGGTATGTCCATCTCCATCCCGTGACCCTTCCGGGCCTCACCCCAAACCCTGGCTGGGTCCCTGAAAGTGGAGATGGGGTTCTCAAAATTCAGTCTTGTTGGTCGGTTCCCTTCAAGCACCGTTTGCACTGGCGTTTTTTTTTTTGGATGATGTCTTTCTGAAATGGATGAGCTCACGCTGCTTTCTTGTGGCTTGCAACATCACCGAAAAGGCCAAGTTTGGAGTGAGATCCAGTTGGGGTCCCCGGACCCTCCATTGTTGCCGCGACAAGCCCTGGCTCCTCCAAAAAAATGGTCAAAGCCAGAAGCAACGTGGGTGTGCTTTTTGTTGAGGCCACCTTTCTTTTGTTTTCTTCGTTGTTCCCCAGGAAACCACAGGAAGACGGGTGATATCCCCAACAGCATGCGGTGCTCTTTTTAGTGCTCGCACCACCCTGCAGCCCTCGCAGAACCTCGTGGAACCCTGGTGGAACCCTGGTGGAACCCTGGTGGAAGACTGGTGGAATTCTCGTGGAGCCTTACCTCAGGGCCGCCGGACCACCCCGGACCACCCCGGAGCCTGTCTGGGCTGAGACCCCAAAGCTTTCAGCTGTTGGGGAAAACACACACAAAAGAAACACGCCGCACAACATATGTCCAGACAGGGAGGACAGTTCCCCAACGCTGTTCGTTTCATGTTTTATTGCGCCTAAAGGGAAACTTGAAGGAAACCAACCGTGTCCCAAATCCTGTGCTAAAAGCCATAAGAACTCGAGGCTGGTGCCCGCCGTGAGCGGCATGGCCCACGTGCAGGCAGAGGCGCCGGAGCAAGGCGTGGGCGGCGCTCGCGGCGCAACCGGCTCCGCGCGGCGAGGGAAAGGGAGCGAAGGATGGGAGCGGAGAGGACGAGTCAATTGCCAGTTTGGTGGCTCCCAGCCATCCCCTTAGCTTTTTAGCCTTTTAGTGTTTAGTGGTAGTTTCCATTTAACCCACTAAAAGTTAAACTTTCAGCGGGGGATCTGAGGGCAGCCCAGCAAAGGCTGAGCTTTGTATTTGTTTGCTCGGGGGGGGGTTGCTTCATTTTGTGCGTTCAACCGGCGTTTTGAGGAACTTTTACTGGGTCCCGGTCTAAGTCTGGTTAAGAAGTTGAGTGAATTTTTAATCTGCTTGGTGGACAGCTGATTTCGGTGGGGAGTGATGCCCCACTTTTGAGTGAAACGGTTCCCTTTTCAATTGGCGTTATATATATATATATATATATTATTGAATGCTTGGGTGGATTTTTGACCGCTGTTCTTGAAGATGAATCTTCCCCCTGAACCAGCGCAGGTACTGTTATTGTTGCGTATGTGTAATGGCCACGTGATTCGTCGTGAGGCTCGGTACCTCTCATTTTTTGGGTACCCCTATTTTCTGACGCATGGCTGTAATGGTACCATTTTGGGGTAGGTGCTTTTAGTCTATTTTAGTGGGGATAGGGATGTTCACTGGGGGTACGGGATTTTGACCCATGGCCATATAGCCGTACTAGTATTAAGATGCACATGGTTTCACAGACATTTGCATGTATGTAACTTGTGTATACAATATGTATATGCACACAGAAAAAAAGCTGTGTATGTATGTGGATCCATACAGACATACACGTACATGTACACATACATATGCATATGCACATACAGTAAGCATATATATATATACACATACATTTTCATGTACACACAG